AGCAGGAGTCGCCAAAAGCCATGATGAGGGCACCAACCTATTCCCTGGCGCCTGCTGAGGCAACCTGTGCCACGCTACAAAAGCAAAGCTAACCCGAGTTTCTGGGCCAATTTTTATGCTGCAGAACTGACTATATTAAGAGATGATAAGGTGGGGCTTATATGCGACAAATCAGTGAAGTTCTAGAAAAAATTGAGGTAGCTGGGTAGCTCCTCTTGTTTGACTGAATAGATGTTCTCCTTTGTGGTGCGCTGGGACCCTTATGATATCATCTCACAGAACTTTCTGGTAAGATCCCTTTCCAAACTCTAAATCAAATAAGCCAACACTGATACTGAAGGTTTCTGGGTAAATGAAGATGAACCCCAGCCCCTACAGATAGAAAGATGGTCCAAAAGAGGCATTGCCCAATCAATATCCAAAGAGTTTCATCTAGGAGAAATTCTAGGACTTTGAGGACAAAGGTCCCTAGTCTACCCGCAACCATTTTCCAAGTAACTGCTATTCATTGTACTAACCAGCATCCTAGGAGCTCTTGGTCTGGTGCTCTTTGACAAATTGTCCCCTGGCTTCATCTTTTGTGTTCTTACCCATCTGGCTCATTTTTGTCCTAAACCTTGCCAAAGCTTGTCCTGCCTGACTTCAACAGATAGAAAGAAAAGCTATACAGTTCCTGTTTTGTTTCTGTCTCTATCAAGGAAAGAATTTTTCAAGCTACACAAGCCACCATTTTGGTGAACCCATGGCAGAGAGAGTCCCCTAATTCTATGGCGACATGAGGCTGACTACCACTGAGCCAGCAGGGAGCCCTGAGGTACAAGAAACTCTGTATCACAACCATACCGGTAAATTTTTCCAGAATCCTGCAGATAGGAGGACAGGTCTATTTCCATTTCACTCAGGTATTTAGGGCTAAGGACTAAAATTATTTCTTTCACTATACATCTATAATGTGTTCTATTAGTCTTTACAAGGTTGCCTTAACCCAAAACTATACTTGTGAATATCTATCCAATATTGTTAATTACTAAGAGGCAAGAAATGTGCATTGTCTAGGTGATGGTTGACTCATAAAGGTAATATCTAGTTGACTGGCAGAGGTACAGCCCAAAATAGATGACATAGGAGTCCACATGCCCTGAAGCTGGCAGAGCCTTCAACGATCTCCTAGCAAGTCCTATATTCAATATTCACAGATATGCCTGTAGGGAGAAATGATGTTTGCACAGTATCACCAGCACAGCTGAAGCAGAAGTGGACATAATATATCTGTTGGCCCATGACTACACTGACAAAGAAAGTTTGGGTGAGAGAAAGCACTGCTTCCATAAAAGGATGATTATATTAGACAAATTTTCCTTTAGGTGGCAACCTTTGTAACATAAACCTCCTTATATCATGTGTTGCCTCCTGCCCTGCATCCTGTTCCCCTATAATTATGATGACAAGACATTGGAATGACTTCAATATTTTATGATATAATCTTTGGGCATGGCTTTATTCACCATTCTGAAATTCAATTTTTAATGCTTGTAAGGACTAGTATAACATGAGCACTTCTCCCTGCCGGCATCACACACAATCCTTTCTTTGGCCCAGTCTTCTCAGGCTCATATAGCCCGTGGCCAGAACCAGTTGTCAGGAGGGTCTTATGATCAAGTAGCTTTTCAAAGAGTTTCCAGTGAATTAAATCATACTATTTCATCTATATGTTGCTTTTGAATAGCATCAGGATTTAACTTCTCAGTAAACATACATTCTTATCCAGTTTCCCAAATGTCTTTGACAAACATCCCATGGAAACCCCTCATGTGTCCAATGGAGTCTATACCATGTAGACTCCTGAGCTTGGAATCTCTGAACTGCCCTCCTACATTTAAGTGTTCCTGAGAAACTTTCATTCTTGGCCAAGCCCAGCCTCTAGCTTACACCCTCTTGTACATAAAAACTTGGACCATAACTCTCTTTTCCGTGCTGACATCCCCTCAAGCCTAGTGATTTGTCCAATCACTGGCATATGTTAAGGACCTTTTGCAATTTTTTATAGATGGGGAAACTTGTGTGGATAGAGGCAAACTAACTTGCCCAGAGGTCACACAGTATGTGTTGGAGTTAAACTCAAGTTTTCTGACTCCAGGTCCAGCTCTCTATCCATTGTACCACCTAACAGTCCCTTCTCATGAAGCTCACAGTTGAATTAGAGAAACAGCATGTAAACAACAAGGCTGAACAACACACACACACACACACACACACACACATTTTCCTTTTTTAACTTTAAAGTACCAATCCATAGAATCCTCTTCACTCTGGAAACTCACTTCACTATGGAACCCATTTCACCCCTGGGTGAAATAAATGCCATCCCAGTGGCCTCTTCCTGTATTTAATTGGCTGGTTCCTCCCGGAACTTCCATTTTACAAAGAATGTCCAGGCCAGACTTGTCTTCATTCCAGTCCAGGCTACACTTCTGACTCTCTGAACTTTCTCTACAATGCCCCTTTCATCTCACCACACACACACACACACACACACACACACACACACACACACACACACACGGATGCACTTTTCAGCTGCCTTTTATGTGTTGACTTCTTCCATTAGAAGGTAAAATCTTAGAAAGGAAAAGACAATTTCATTTTCTCTTTGTATTTGTATTCTCAGTGCTTTGCACAGGACCTGGCACATACTAAGTGCTTAATAAACCTTATTGATTTGTTGACTTAAGGATATAAATGTTAGCTATTAAAAGGATATTTAGACTGGTAGATTAATGGAATGTCTTAGACATAGCATACCTTGATTTTATATGGCATTTGAAATTGTTTCTCATGATATTTGGGGACCCAATATCAAGATATGTGAACTGGATGACAGCCTGATTAAGTGATTTTGTGACTGACTTGCTAGAGTCATGAATACATATTATCAGATGGATTCAACTCAGAGTGAGATCAACCAATCAGTAAACATTTATTAAATGTCTACTAAGGACTTTGTAATCCAAGCACTGTGCTAAATGCTGGGGATTCAAAAAGAGATAAAAGACAGTCCCTGACTTCAAAGAGCTTACAATCTAATGAATCTAATGAGATCTCTGGTGTTGTACTTAAGGTTAGGCAACCATTCTTTTTATTAATGATTTGAATAAATACAATAAAGTATATTATCAAATTTATATATTACTCAGAGCTGAGTGGGTTAACTATATAATGTTTGATGGCAGAATGAAGATTTTTAAAATGCCGGTATCCTAGAACCACTTAGGATAAGTAAAATAAGTTGAAATTTATCAGGGATAAATGTAAATTCCTGTACTTTAGTCCAAAAAACCAACTGGATAAGTAGAAGATTTAGGAAATGTAGGAGGCTTACTTGATATGTAGGAAAATATCTAAGAGTTTTAGCTGACTATAAGTTCAATATGAGCCAACAAGATAACATGGCTGCCCAAAACAAAGAATAAAACCCAGTGATGTCTTAGATGGAATACATAGAAACATAAAGTATAGAGTAGGAAAGCATGAAGGGAATGGTCCATGTCCAAAGGAGGGAAAATCATGATGACAAAGAGTCTGGAAACAATGTTATATGAAAGATGGGTTGAAAGAAATCTGGAGATACCCTGAGAGTGAGAAGACTTAATGGAGACATAACTACTGTCTTCAAGTTTGTTCTTTCATTTATTCATTCAACAAATATTTATCAAGTTCCTCATCAGGCCTTCATAATCTCACATCTGGGCCATTGCAATAGCCTGCTAATTGGTCTGCTTGCCTCAAGTCTCTTCCTACTCCAATCCATCCTCCACTCAACTGTCTGACCATGTCATCTGCCTCCCCCCAATCATTAAACTCCAGAGATTCCCTATTGACTCCAGGATAAAATATAAAATCCTCTGTTGGGCTTTTGAAGACCTTTATAACCTGGCCCCTTCCCACCTTTCTTATCTCTTACTTCCTCTCATATACTCAGCTACCCACTGACTCTCATCTCCTAGCTATTCCTCAAACACAGCACTCAATTCCCAACTTTGAAAGTTTTTACTGGCTATCCTCCATATCTGATTTTTTTCTCTTCTCATTTCTGCCTTTTGATTTCCTTCCAAGTTTCAACTAAAATCCCACCTTCTAGAAGAAGCCTTTCCCAGTCTTCCTTAATCTTAATGCCTTCCCCTGAAACTATCCCCAATTTATCCTATATGTATGCATGTGTGTGTTGTTTACATGCGTTGTTGTTTATGTATTGATTCTCCCATTCAACTGTGAGCTTCATGAGAGCAGGGGCTGTTAGGTGGTACAATGAATAGAGAGCTGAACCTGGATTCCAGAAAACCTGAGTTAACTCCAACACTCACTGTATGACCTCTGGGCAAGTTACTTTGCCTCTAGCCACACAAGTTTCCCCAACTGTAAATGGGTATAAAAATAGCATCTACCTCATTGTAAGGAACAAAATAAATGTTTAGTACAATATCTGACACACAGTAGGTGCTTAATAAATGTTTCCTTACCCTGCCTTCCCTCTATGCCCCAGGGCTTAGCACACTGCCTTACATATAATAAGAACTTAATAAATGTTTGTTGAATTATTTAATTATTGAACATGATTGGTAAGTGTAAAGGCAGAGGAACTTGGAAACTTGCTCTGCCTCTAACTGCCTGTGTGACATTGATCAAGCAATTTCACCTCTCTGAGCCTCAGTATCCTCAGAGATAAAATGAAAGGGTGTATCAAATGATCTCTAAATCCCCTTCCATTTTGAACATCCTGTGATTCTGATTCAGGTGCTAAGGCAGCAATAGTCTGAATTTGAAAAGTCAAGGACAGAAGTTGCTACACAGGTCACTTGCCTATGATTGCCTCTGGTCCTAAAATGAAATGGTGGTGAACAGGTCATAAGTGAAATAAAGATTCCTTCCCTGTCGCCCCAACCCAGTTAGAGAGACACTTTGAGTGAAGTATTCCACACTCGAGAAAATAAGAAAACTTAGACTGTAAAAAAAAAAACCTTTGTCTTTATTACTTTTTTAATTCATTTGAAAATCTGATACTGTTAAACCAAATTCATTTAACAGGAATTTTGCCTTTTAATAAATTTACTTTGAAATGTTCAACGCTATTGACAGAAGAAGCATTGTATTAATGTGCCTGTTGGCCAAAAGGCCAACATATCAAAATTCAGCCTATTTGTCCACTCTCAATACACTTAGTCAAAAAAGACTTAGTAAAAATCTCTTCAGAACTACAAAGTTAGTCCAGGTGACTGAAGGCAGTGAACATCAAAACTTGATTCAAATTACAAGTTCAGTATTATACTGTACAAACTCAACACTATGCACACTTAAAGCACATAGGTATACATAATGATATCAATAACTAAAACATTAATGATTCTAGACTATCATTTTGCATACTACTAGACACTCAGTTCACATAAGAGGCAAAAGAGAACTTACATACATTTTTGTAACTTGGAAGCTGTGATTATATAAAAGAAAAATGAAGCTGAGAGGATATTAGAACCAAGGATTTCATTTTAAATGTATTCCTGATAAAGGAGGTTTCAAAAGAAATCCCTCCTTTGACAAAGGAGGTTTCAAAAGAAATCTATCTCATTCTATTCTAAGCATCCATCATGAATTCAGAGTTATTCTATGATCCTATCAGAAACTCAGAACTTCCTAGTGGGTTTTAGGGTGAACTGGTTCAGCATGAGGTCCCTGTGACTCCTCCAGTTATTTGCAAACCCTAAGGCAAAAGGAACTGGAGCTAGGGCATACCAATGGAAGTCATTCAACCTTTATGAAGGAGACAGACCTCTAGTGCTTATTTCAGGACCATGTGGACTATCACAGGTCCTTCCATCTTAATTCCTTGGGTCTGGGAGTTCTGAGAGCTCCTCTAGCATATAAGGATGCAAGGTTTAAATAGCAGTTTTATTGAGATTGTTGGCCATGTAGGCAGCCTAGAACTTTTCAAGTAGGTTACCGGACCCTCCACTAGAAGAGGATCACATTGCCACAGAAAATCCTCTGCTTAAATTGGATCTATGAAAATGACATTGGCTGGTAACCACCAAATACAATAGAAGACTGATAATATCCGAGGAAGCTACAGCAATGCTGAGTAGTGTTTCATATCACTGATGATGCTGAAGTAGCTGATATGATCAGATAAATTTGAAGTAACAAGATAAGTTTCTGTGACAGATCATTTGTTTTAGGGAAAACAGATTATATTTATCAAGATCTCAAAATACCATATAGTCTCAAAATACCATATAGTCTTTCTGAACTTCACAGAAATAATTTAGAAATATCCCCTTGACTCCGCTTGATAGAAAAGTAGATGCACAGAAGGAAATGAGCAAATAAGAGAATTCTGCTAGAAAATAAAATATATTTAAACTCTTTCTGAATTGCATCCTGAAGTTCCTAAGGTACTTGAAGTCAGAACAATATTGCCCTGCTGCAGGGCTACCCAATATCTTCAAAGTCCTTAGGTACAGTGCAAGTGTTTCCCCCTATTATCCTATGGGTATGTTTCAAGCTTCTAAGGTGTTTGCTAAGTACGATAAACGACTCCATGGAAAAGAAGAGGTAGTCTGTAAGTGATCTGAGAAAAAGTGCTAGACATTTTCCTCAGAAGAGATTTTATAGCATTGGCTTCATTCTTTTTTTTTTTGAGCTTTTTTTTCCAAAGGTGGATGTGTTTATTTTTGTCAGGGGCCGATGTCTGAGCTGGGCCCAACTGTCCCAACCTGTTGAAAAGCCATTGACAGATACAGTCACTGGGATCCACGTATAGTATAACCAAATGAATTCAAAGCCCCTGGTTGAATGAGAAGAATAGAGAATTCCAAGTAGAAAGAGTTGACTTGCATGCTTCCCAGCATAGACACTCTAGCTTCTGATTATGTGCTCATACCTGTAATGCAAATTTAGAATTAGTCATAAAGATACGACCATTTGCCTTTCTTTTAATGAATTACCTTGTGGAATGCTCTTCTCTTTCCTCTCCAACTATCCAAATCCTACCCATCCTTCAAGGTCTGTCTCAAATCTGACTTCTTCACTGATTCTTAAGCTGTTAAAGCTAGAAGGGACCTTAGAATTAATGTAGTCCAACCAGCTGCATATTACAAATAGGGAGAGTGAGGTCTTCAAAAAGCCTTCCCCAATCACCCCATCCCACTTTTTTTGACTTCCAGTTTTTGAAACTGCCCATATCTGTGCCATTCACTTGGCATTTAATGATAGTGCTTAAAAGGGAATGTAAACTCCTTGAGGGGAGGGGCAATTTCATTTTTCTCTTCATAGCCATAGTACCTAGCAACATACCAACATATAGGCTCTTAATAAATTGCTAATCTATTAATAAATAATAAATGTTTATTACTATGTATTATGATAAATGCTTATCATAAAAGCTTAATAAATGCTTATTTATTATATATTAAATGATTGATTGCTAGCTAGCTAGGTCTTCCAGGCCTGAAGGGAGCTGTCCTAGGTGCTCTTCAGGGCTAAGAAGAAATATATTTCCTATTCTGAAGAAGCTTACATTACATTACCTTCTTTCGAAGTTCTTTCATTCTTTGTACTTTATTCTCAGTACCTAGCATAGTTCCTGACACATAGTAGATGCTCAGTAAACATTTTATTTTTTTATTTGTTGAAAATAAAGTCCTATCAGAATCCTCATTCAAGATATATTTCTTTAGAACTCAGAAGATACAGTGCCAACCAGTGATTATAAGTAGTACCTAAATAAAGCTGAGTGTAGAACACTCATGGTTGAGCAAAAATACTTATTAAATGAGGAGATTAAATTCCATCTCTAGGGCTATGTTTTTATTATTTCTAAGATCCTTTCCTGGCCCATGTTTCCATGTTCATGTCCCTTTCCCAAAGTCAGTTGGATAGTTACAAAATGTGGTGGCCCACAGCATGCTTATTCCCTCTCTTCACTCTAGTCCTGGAGATTTATGAGCTTTTAAACTAACAGTGAACAATTCAATGCAAAGAACTAGAATAAGCACAATTCCTGAGTTCTACTTTTTAGGTAGTTAACTGATTCATTTTTCTCAATGTACTACAGTGAGAGCAAACTGCATTCTTAATGTGAAATTTCTTGCTTTTTTCAAACCTACTAGAATCAATCCAAGAAGAAAGGTACCTTTACCCTTAAAAGAAAACATAAATATTTAGGCCCTAATGCTTCTGTCATTGATTAAAGTCCTGAATTGAGACCTACCTTTGAATCCAGGGTTTTTAGCTGCAGTCACTGCTGCCATAGGCATATATTCACTATTAGTTTCATGCAAACTAGATTGGCTTTGGCTCGTCTGAAAAGAAAGAGCATCCCATGAACAAGGTGAGTCAGTTACTCTCTGTTTCCTAAACTCAAACTGCCAGCTTTGTTTTCCCTCCTTTTTCTTTTCTCTGTTGGAAGTCCCTGCCAGATTCTGACCCTGGGCAAATAATTCAACCTTTATGTACTCCAAGCAACTCCCTTGGATTTTTCTAAGTCATAGATTTGTGTTGGTTTTGGGGGTAGAAGAAAAAGGGTGTTCCCATAGCTGATGAAATCACAGATCCTTCAAATGGGTCCTGAAGTTTTAAGAGAGCTTCAACTTAGGCTTTTAGAACTCATTTATAACAGAAGCCAAAGGGAGTCAGTAAAGAGCATGAAGAAAGAGAAAGTCTGGGGCCAGAAAACCTAGGTTTCACTTCTTGTGACCTGGGTGACTTAGGCAAGTTATTTAACGTCTCTGTTCTTGAGTGTTGTTATCTACAAAATGACAACACTCTTGCATTTTATAGATGATGCAGAGGTTGTACTTAATGACCATTAAGGTTTCATCTACTTCTGTACCTATGATCCTACATGTCTGGTGGTAACCCCCAAAGGGAGAATTTTCTACACAAATACCATGCCATTACGTACATATTTTTAAGTGCAATTTTCCTCATTTTTGCCTTGGCTCCTCTACGCATACCCTGTCCTGAAGTTTTACACTCTTCCCCCCCCCTTTGAAATTTAGTCTATCATGGATTCATTTGTTTCTTTCTATTGGTATCAGGAATATTTGTGTGTTAACAGAACATTTGGTTAATTGAGGCTTCAGCTCTTTGAATTCAGAGCCACAATGAGCTATGAAGCTAAAACAAACCCAATGAAGCTAGGAAGGCTAAGGCCCTCTCATTGTGTCCTGGGTGTCTTTCATGGTTCAAGTTCAAAAGGCCGGGGAGGTAAGTCAGACTGGCATCTCCCTACTCCACTTATCATGCTGTGAACAAGCCAACAGGCAGATTTCCTCCCTGAGTACTCTTGCTGATTTATATTAAGGGCTCTTCTTCCCTTCTGATCCAGATGATTAAATTAACCAGGAGCCACATCTGGTGAATGCAATTCATCCTTCCCCATAACAAGCAAATCTCCCTGATGTTCTTCAGCCGGCTAGGTCCAAAATGCATCATCTATCTTGAAGAGGAATGGTTTTCACAGGAAAAGACAGAATCTTCTCACCTTTTTTCTTACACAGTAAGAAAACGTGCCAACAAAAATTCCGGTAAAACAGAGGAGAAATGCAATTCCAATAGATAGCCATAAGACCAGAGGGAAACAAGACTTTGATTCTAAATTGGAAAAAAACGAGACAAATATCCGTGTTAGGAGTGCAATTTTGAAAATCTTTTTTCCTGTACTAGGGAGTCACAAATCAAAGAGAGATCTTAATAGACTCAAGCTATGCTTTTTAAACACTCACGACATTCAATAAATGTAGAACAATCTAAACATCAGCTTACATTAACTCAGACACCAAAAAAAAAAGAATATATATGTGTGTGTGTATATATATACAGATATGCATGTATATACATGTATACATATATACACATACATACATATACATATACACACACGTATAGTTTATGTAGCCTGTGGTTGGTAGATAAGCCTCCTCTACACAGTGGATAGAGCATCAGCCCTGGAATCAGGAGGACCTAAATTCAAATCCATCCTCAGACACTTACTAACTGTTTTACCCTAGGCAAGTCACTAAACTGCATTTGCCTCAGTTTCCTTATTTGTAAAATGAGCTAGAGAAGGAAACGGCAAACCACTCTAGTATCTTTTCCAAGAAAAGCCAAATGGAGTCACAAAGAATCAGACAGGACTGAAATAACTGAACAACAACAACAAATATCTGTGTAAAGAATAAAAATTGCAAATGTTCAAAGTAATTTCTTCCACTCTGTTTTGTTAATCTTATGTCAAGTGACATGTTATATTCTTATATTCCCTTTATTAGTAATAATTCACAGTGAGAGGCAGTCTAATGTGAGTAAAGGGTGAACCTTGTAGTCAAGAAGGCCTAAATTCAAGTCTTAACCTCTGATGTATACTGGCTTCATGACCACACATAGATCGCTTAAACTTTCAATCTAAACTTCATCTTAAACTCTAAGACTATATGTTATTGGACATTTGCTGATTTGCATCAGTGGAGGGAGTGCCCACACTAGAAAAAACCAATATGGTCAAATAAAAACAAATGATGGACATTTCTATAGTCCTGTTAAGATTTGCAAAGCATTTCTTCACAACAACCCAGAGAGGTAGCTATTGCAAATATTATTATCCCTATTTTACAGATGAGAAAAAAAAAGAATCAGAGAGTTTAAGTGACATTCTTGTTGTTACAAATTCAATTCAATTGGACAAAACTTTCAAGCCTACTATGTGCAAGGCACTGGGGAGCCAAAATTAAAAGTGAAACAGGTCCTACCCCCAAGGAGTTTGTTTAAATCTGCTGGGAGGAAACAATGTCTATAGGGATTAAGCAGATGCTGAAATTTGAGAAGGGATTGAGGATTACTAACTGGGGAAACAGAAAATGTTTTGCCTAGGAGATGGTGCCTGCACTGAGCCTGGAAGGGAAGTAAGAAGGGAAGTAGAAGATGGAGTATGTAGTGGAGATGGGGAGACCTAAGACAGGCAGGTTATCAGAGCTGGAATCTGAATCTAGTCTCACAATTCCACAGTCAGCACGTTTTCCACTGTACCACAGTTAGTTTAGCTAAATATTTGGGAAGTTTTTGTTCATAACCTTAGATTTTAGGCTTATACTATCATCAGTTCAGGTGTGGTTATTTTTTTCTTAATATTTTTCTCAGTAGATGTTAAGTTCCTTGAAGGCAAAAACTGCTGCTCTAAATCTTTCTTAGCCTCCAGCACCTAATACAACACTTTGCACATAGTAAGGGCTAAAGAAATGTATTTTGAATCATTATTGATTTTTAGCTTTTAGGGACATGCATCTAAAAAGAATGTGTTATTAGGTAACTAAAGGGCAAAATGTAGAGAATACTTGAATCAGGAAGATTTGAGTTCAAACCTTGCCTCTGGTACTTGCTAGCTGTGTGACCCAGGGCAAGTCATTTAATCCTACTTATCCTTAGTTTTCTCATCTCTGCAAAGGGTATAATAATAGTACCTGTCTTGCAGGGTTTTATTGAGGGGAAAATTAACATATACATACATACATACATACATACATACATACATACATATGTGTGTATATACATATATATACATATATATATATATATATATATATATATATATACATACATAGTTTTGCAAACCTTAAAGAGCAATATAAATGCTAGCTATTTTGGATTTTTCACTATCATTGAGTAAAACGTTCCTATAAATTTGTCATAAAAACAAAGTTTTATGTAAAGTTATCGCCTTATGTTTTCCCATTAGAAAATAATTGTGACTTGGTGAAGCTAAAGGAATACCAACATCAAAGGCTTTTGATTTGTTGAGACATTTTATAATAGTTGGCAAAATGCATGTGCACATGTCTCTCTAACAGAATGGCTTTTTTCCCATTTTCCCATTCCCTTTTAAGCAAAATAGATTTTGAAAGCTCTCTTACCGTAGATATGTACATAAACTCCATTTGAAGTACTGTTCTGGTAAGGAGGAGGAAAAGTAATATGTAGACTACAGAAGTAATGGCCAGTATGAGTGCTGTTCAAGTCAGACAAGAAGAAAATTACACTTGTCTTGGAAAGCTCGGGCTCACAAGACACCCACTCCTTGGTCTTTTCAACAACTTGATTATCCTTTTTGAGTTCACAGATTTTTTGCTTTCCAGTCCCATTCAGCAACTGCATTTTAAAGTCCCGGGCATCTTCAGGATAGTGACAGGTCAATTTTAAGCCTCTATTATGGTATTCAATCAACTTCAGCTGGGCAGACTCATTGAAATTTTCTGCAGGAGGAAAAAAAAGAACAAGTAGCATTTTGTGTGTATGTGTGTTTCTGAGTACTGGTGTAAAGATATAAGGATAATCATCTTTCACATGTTAGCTTAAGTTAGAGCTTTATAAACTAAATAACAACATAAAATCAGGATCTTAGGAAGCAAAAAATGAATGGCTATTGACAACTGGCTAGCTTCTGTCAGTTACATCCATTGAGGTTTCTTAGTATAAATTTTAACAAAAATTACTTGACTTATAACAGTAAATAACATATATTTATGTCATTAGTTCTATTCCTGTGTTGACATCTAACTTGGACTCACAGAATCTCAGAGCTGCAAAAGACCTTAGACCATCTAGGTCAACCCACATCTAGATAGGAATCATCTTTGCCTGGACAAGCAATCATTTATATTCTACATGAAGACCTCATTGCCTAGACAGGTCCATAATACAAGATGTACCCAATAATCTGTAGATATTAATAACCTAGACTGTTTCTCTGAATAGGAAACTATTCATGTTGATTGCTTGCATGTTATATATTCTATTTGGTATATAAACTCATTTTAAATTTAGTGGAAGGGATGGGGCAGAGAATGAAGTGAATTATCTGCCTCATAACTATTCTGTCACTCTGTGACCTTGGGCAAGTCATCCCATTTCTCTCGGCTTCCATTTTCTCATCTGTAAAATGAGAGTGATGGACTAAATGGTCAGTCCTTTTCAACCCTAAATCTTTGATTCTGTGCTCTATTTTTATTCATTCAGCACCAGATGGAAGAAGTCAACAATGTTGACCTTCCCTAGGTCTTTTATTTCTCCATAGGTCAGTTGTTGGAGCTCTGGAGATCTTGAAAGTCTCTATTATCCCATACCTTATAGTCTGGATTCGGATCACGTAAATTGCTAAAGGTCCAAGATTTCTCAGCTAATAAAGAATATTTTTGAATCATTGATCCAGTGATAAAGAAATTGAGTGCCCTCAGTCTCTTTAGCAGCACATTACTTAGCAGAATCAATAAACATTTGAACAATTGTAAGCAGCCCGGTCAAAAAAGGAAAACCATGAAAATAGGACAATATTAAAAATAAAATTCTAGAGGGACAAAATCATCCAGCCTAAATATGGGTAGAGATAATTACTTTAAAAATTCATTCTTTCTCACTAGAGAAATCCTTTAGATCTTTTAGGTAAAAGATCAAAAAAGCTCTTTTCCCAAAATGAATATCTGTGAATCAGGCCATATCTACTGAGAAAAGAGAGGGAGGGAAATGGAATTGAGAATGAAAGAATAATCAGTTTCATCATTCAATCAACAAGCAAATGTTTACTATTTGTCAGAAATGGTGGGACTTTAATGAATTCACCCCATATTTTATGTCCCGGCAAGTCTGAAGATGAGGGCAGACAAAGGAGGAAGGTGTGGTTTTCCTGGCTAAGCAGCAGAAGTCTCAACAACAGATCAAGATTAACTCTAGAATGATAATTTGGTTTTGATTGAGTTTTATATTGCAAGAGTCCTACCAAAAATGCAATCAAATAATTCTGACCTTTCTTTTTATACAGAATTTCCATGTTGAAAATGATATCATCATCCAGAAGAAAATTATAAACAATATCTGTCTTATGTAAACTAGCAAATGGATTTTTAATTTGAGGATTTGATGCTAAGGAGTAAACAGGAGAAATAATGTTTGCTCATTTATGGGTTTAGTCCTTTACAATCAAAGAAAAAAGAAAGAAGAAAGGATTAGAGGTATACATACCTATACAGGCATAGCCCTCCTATAATTAATTCTATGCAAAAATAATAATACTAGCTGGCATTTTTATAACACTTTAAAGTTTTCAAAACCTTTAAGTACATCATATCATTTGATCTTTATAATAATATTCTGAAATTTATTCTTGGAGTTCAGGGATTGGCACCTGGAGCAGAGGCAAGGTAGGCATAGGTGCCTCTAGTGTGAGTGGTTGTCACCCCTAAAACACTCATCCAAGGACTCTAAAAGAAGTATCAGGATCTTTACCTAATTCTAGTATTTATGGCAGAAGTCAACTTTGCTAAGTTGACCTGTGAGTAGGGAGAGTTGTGGTAAACAGATTATCCTCACCTGTGTGGAATTGTGTGATCATGCTGAGTTCAAGCAGTGCATACACCCTTGGCATAAACAATGAGTAGATGAATTTCTTGATGGGAGCTGGGAATCAGTCCTTGCATCAGGGAGGGTATATCACTGTTAAGGGCTAAGCTAGTACACATGTCTGTGTAAATGTACCCGGACACAGAACCCTAGATAAGTTTAAGAGAATGTGAGCTTTCTGGATACTCTGGAGGTCTGGGGTGCAGTAGGTGTACATCGAGTCGCTTTACTTTAGGACTTCATCACTCTTTACTTAGATCAGTCTCCTTCTCACCCACTTTATTTTATTTTTCTTTTCCATGCTTTTTTTTGGGGAGGGAGAGGACTTGGAGGGGATGGGAGCAGCCTACTGATTAAAAGGCTACTGTAACAGGGAAAGAATTAAGGAAATACAACTTTTTCTCTCCATTAGGCCACCTGAGGAGAGTTACTCGACTTTTGGTGGCTCAGCCCTACATCCCATATCCTGACCTTCTTGGACTGTGCTCTGGCCCTGTACCTGTGTGAGCCAGGTAAAACAAAGCTACACTCCTGAAATACAGGGCAGAGGCTAGGCAGCTTATCAGGTATACACTAATCAGAAACCACCGTCCCTCATCTTGGGGGTAAATCAGAAGCTGAGAAAAATCCAGCGGAAAAAACAACCCAGAAAAGGAGGCTCCATTAGTGTCAGGTTAGATCTCCATTGGTTTTAGGCCTTTCAGGAAGTCTGAGGCAAAAAGAACAGATTACAAATATAACCATGTAGGAAGGGCTATGGGGCACACGTGAGATTTTTAAAGGCAGGTTAGATCGCAAAGAGAAAACAGAGCTGTTGACATCTGTTTTAGACAGAGGATGACTAAAATCAGCTTCTCTTTGTGTGTCTGCTGTCCATTGCTACTTGTCTTCCCAGGCCTCTTTGTGATTTCTAGGTACTACTCCTATCCCCACTCCCAAAAAGAAGTAGGGAAAAGAGAAAAATAAAATGAACTCCCTTCTAAACCTCCAAAAGAAAAAAGAAAAAGAAAAAGAACCTGGGGTGTGTTGCCTTCTGCCAAAAGTGTTTGTGAAGGTATAATATAGCCCAGCAACTCCTAAATATGTTTCTTGGTTGTTTCAAGTTTTATCAATAATAATAATGCCAGAGGTATTCTGGTACCAGTTCAAACTGGGTCTCTCTGATTATTATATGTTCAGCATGACCTTGAAAATCTGCAAATGCTACAAAGTCAGGACTTGATTTCTTATATGGTTGATTATCTAAATTTAAGAAAATGATAGACAAAATGTTAATAATGAAGATTAAACTTTAGCATGTCTGCATGTTTTTCTTTCTCAGAGAACCAGTTGGTAAACATTTGCTGGCACACTCCAGACAATTGCTCACATTTCCACTGTACTTTTCAGTTTATAAAGTGATATAGATATAGATCCATCACATGAGTCTTAAATCTATCCCCTGATGATTTTACCCCAAATTTAGACGAGGAAACTGAAGCACAAGAGAAGGTGACTTTCCCAAGATCCCATGACTACTCTTAGAATGAAGACTTGAGCTCGGATCTGACTTGAATTTGGTATCCGTTGATTTGTGATATTGCCTCTCCTTTGTGGTATGAGACAGACAAAACAACAACTTTATGGAAAGTCCAAATGACCAGGATTTGTGAAGCTTCTGCACAGATGAGCTATGTGAATTTAGACAAGCCACTTGAAAAATGAGGATAATTTTGAGAGTGCTTAGGGATCAATTCTCTCAAGATATTTGAAGGGGAGGAAAACACTAAAAAGGAATAGAGATGCAAAGGCAGTGTAGTGCCATGGGGGAAACAGTGACGTTACAAATAATGTTATACCTCTTAATGGTGGTGAGGAAGAATTGAGAAAATTGATTTTTTGCTAATTTTTTAATTAATTAAAATTAACCAATTAATTTAAAATTTACAACTTGTAAAAAGACATTGAATTGAGGTTCAGAAGGCCTGAATTCTGATGCTGGTATGCCACTTGCTACCTGAGTGTGCTGATCTGGAGCAGGTAACTCTACCTCTCTATCCCTCAGCTTCCTCATCTGTGAAATAAGAACACTAGACAAGGTCCTTTACAGCTCTAAATCTATGGCCCTATGATAATATCTGCCCTGTTCTCCTCACCAAGTGGTGAGAATCCAAGGAGACAGTGTATTCTACTTTAATTGAAGAGCAATTATATCAGCAGTGAAATATCAGTAAGGGAATATTAGTAAGCACATGGAACTGATAGGAACCCTCTTCCAGAATCAGATTCAGTTCCATTCTTTTCCAATCCATAAATACTTGTAACTTTCTTTGAAAATATCCTTTTTTTTGCTGCTCCTTTTGGAATCTGCTCAGCAATTCCATCTTTGGTTGATATTTTTCCAGTCTCAATGGCAAAAACCAGTCCATAGCTACTATTATCCCTTTCTGTGGTTGAGAGATGTTTCTTCCCTTCAATTTTTCTTGCCCACTAAAAGTCTCTAAAAGGCCTCAAGATTAATTTGGAGATAACATTTTCACATAGTCTTTTCCAAGGTCTATAACTTTAATGCCTTCTTTTAAACCAAAAATACCTAGGAAGTCTTTTCTGCTCCTTCCTCACCCCCCTGATATTCTTGGCATGCTCTCTTTAAGCTCAGGTTTACCAATGAGTATCATATGTTCTCGTTTTTGTAGTACTAGGCTGGATAAAAGGCTAGGCTTCCATTTCTGGTCCCTATTATTTAAATTTAAATTTATAATAACTCAAAGAATAGACTTCAGGAAGCTGTGCCTCAGTTTCTCTCTGACAAAAAGAGTCAGGAATATTTTCTGTGTGGGATGTCAAGGGCTCATAATTGGTCGGGTGTACACTCTTACCT